TGGGGGAAGGAGGGGGGAGAGGGGGTCGGAGGGGGAGGAGGAGGAGAGGGACTGGGGTGAGGAGAGGGGGCAGGAGGGGAGAGGGGGTTGGAGGAGGGGGGTCCAGGGTTCAGGAAAGGACAGGGAGACTCAATAGCGACCCAAGGGAACGCAGGGCCGTCTGCCTGCAGACCGGGCGCCATCTGGAAGGTTCCCAGGACGCAGGGGGCGCGAGCCAGGGCTCAGGCGCCTCTTTCCCAGCGCTCGCAGAGGTGGGCGGGGCTCCGGGCCGCAAGTGTCTCACTTCTGCAGGAGCACCTCCGTGTCCCCACCTCGGCCGTTTTATCAGTCGGGGCGCTGTGAGCAGCAAGGGGGGTGGGGGGACAGCCACAAGATTTCATAACCCGTTAGACGTTCACTCCTTCCTCTAACGCGAGTGAGATTCACATGCTTTGTGGGGACGGAGAGGAAGGTCTTTGTCCCCTGAAGGCGGCTTATTTCTCAAGAGGTCTGGGGACCAGAGGCTCAGATCCAGGAGTGGCAGGACCCCTGAGACCCAGGAGGGGCAGGACCACCAAGATCCAGGCAGCACCACCGAGGACGTGTTGAAATCACATGCCTTGGGGCGCCTGGGTGGCGCAGTCGGTTAAGCGTCCGACTTCAGCCAGGTCACGATCTCGCGGTCCGTGAGTTCGAGCCCCGCGTCAGGCTCTGGGCTGATGGCTCGGAGCCTGGAGCCGGTTTCCGATTCTGTGTCTCCCTCTCTCTCTGCCCCTCCCCCGTTCATGCTCTGTCTCTCTCTGTCTCAAAAATAAATAAACGTTGAAAAAAAAAATTTTTTTAAAAAAATAAATAAAAAAAAGAAATCACATGCCTTGCCCCGTTCTAGCCTTAAGTAGAAGTGGTTAGTCTTTCACCAGTGAGTCTGAATTAGCTGAAACATTTTCATAGATTTATCAGGGTAAGGAAATTTTCTTCCACTCCTGGTTTGCTTAGATATCTTAATCCCAAATGGGTTTTAAATGCAGTCATTTTTTTGTTTCCTGCTTTTATGGAGATTATTAGTTTTCTGTGAATGGGGTGAATTCTATTCATGGTTAAAAGAACCTTGTATTCCTGGAGTAAGTCTCTTGGGTCGTGTGGTATTACCGGGTTTATGTATTTGTGGATTTTATTATTTTATCTTATATTTCTTAGTTTTTAAGTTTATTTCTTTATTTAGAGAGAGAGGAATAGGACGAGCAGGGGAGGGGAGGAAAGAGAGTCCCAAACAGCCTTCTGACGCTCGGCACAGAGCCAGACGCAGCGGTCGAACTTACGAACCCTGAGATCACGACCCGAGCCGAAAACAAGACGTGTCACGGACTGAGCCACCCAGTCGCCCCTCGCGTTTCCTTTTCATATCTCCGATTTTGATGTTGGGATGACGATGGCTTCCGAAAACGAAGTCGCAAGATATTTCCCATCCTTTCCTTTCTTTTTTGAAAGTTTGTGCACAGGATACTATTTCTTCCTTAAATATCGGATCCGTTATAGATATTGATGTTATTCATAAACACCATGTAAAATATGATAAAGATCTGTTAAAATTAAGATTCATTTCTTCATTTTTCATACCTGTTTTAATGATGTTCGATGTTGAGCTGGTAGAACTCAGCGTAAATTTGGAGGCATTAGAATCTGTTAAAAATTAACGTTTTCCAGGGCACGTGGGTGGCTTGGTCGGTTAAGCGTTCGACTTCGGCTCAGCTCATGATCTCGCGGTTCGTGGGTTCGAGCCCCGCGTGGGGCTCTGTGCCGACAGCTCGGAGCCTGGAGCCTGTTTCCGATTCTGTGTCTCCCTCTCTCTGACCCTCCCCTGCTCTTCCCGTGTGTCTGTCCCCAAAACAAATAAACATTAAAAAGTTTTTAAGAATTACATTTTCAACTTAGAAAGAATTTCCCTTGGTGCATTTTCTTATTATTTTTTCAACTGTTTATTTATTTCTGAGACGAGAGAGAGACAGAGAGAAGGAGAGAATATCCAAAGCAGGTTCCGCGTTGTAAGCACAGACCTGATACGGGGCTGGAAGTCAGGAACGGTGCGATCATGACCTGAGCCGAGTTCAAGAGTCAGACGCTGAAGTGACTGAGCCACCCAGGCGCCCTTCGGGGTTTTTTTGTTTTTTGTTTTAATTGTTAAGGAGTAAATTATCCTTATACGTCGCGAGAACCCCAAGCCGGAAAGCTAGGTGTTTGCGTGGGTTGGTTTTGCTGATGAAACGAAGGTCGTTGATCTTGATCAGCAATCATCATACTCACAGGCCGTAAACGAGGTGGACGTTTATGAAAGTCATGTCCTGTGGGACCTGTGGGACCTTCAAAGGGACCCCAGAGAAAACCTCACCAAGTATCTGATGGGCGTCTGGGTCTCAGCGGCAGAGAGAGAGAGACGGGGACACAGAATGTGAAGCAGGCTCCAGGCTCCGAGCTGTCAGCCCAGGGCCCCACACGGGGCTCGACCCCACGGACCATGAGTCCTCAGCGGCGGGACCTCTTGTGACCTCAGGCGACCCTGTGTCCACGTTTCAGATCCCGAGCCACCGATTAAGAACCTGCGAATGCAGCCGGAGACGAGAAGGTTGACCTGGGACCTCAGCGGAAACGTGTCTGAGATCGGCTGTTTCATCAACTCGAGGCTGATCACTAAGGTAGGCTCGTCCCCCGACCTCGGCACCGGCCGTCCTCCGGGGACCCGAGAGCCACCGCCCGGCCCTGGTGTCGCAGACCTGGGGGTTCTCCTGCTGGCTGGGCTGAGGGATGGGGTGGGGGGGGGGG